ATTAGTGTTATCTACTAAATATGCTCATGTATAGATATTTTTCTAGAGCTTATATTACAATGTTAAGGAATTTAGTAGTGAGGATCTAACAAGTGAAAGAAAACCTTATTCACACACGCGCGCGCACACACACACACACTACTTACAAAAGATGATATGGGTGACAAAACTTTTGATTGTTTTTTATTTAAATTTTTTAAATATAATGGTCATTCAAATATGATAAGAGTAAATATCCCCACATTTAGGGGTAATTTTTAATTTAACTTTATCCTTTTCTATCTTTTGTTCTTCAAATAACTCCCACCTGACCGATGAGTAGTCTTGTAGGCTGATGGACTCACTGGGGCAAATTATTCTCAGTTTGTTAGTCTTTTCCATAACACTGTAAAACATATGTATAATATAACTTAAAATACACATGCCACTTAAGATGGAAATAAATTCTATGTAACTATAATTAATCACATAATTCATACATGTGTTTTTGTGATCAAATGCATTTGAAACTCCATACCTATTTCATTATAATTAATCGCATGGTTCATACATGGTTGGGCGTGGTAGCCTTTGACATTTTGTAGTGAAATTGGATAGGATTGGAATGAAGGTGAAAGTAATTAGCTCATCAAACAGCAAGGAGAGGGAGGCTATTGAACACTTCCAGTGCTGATTCTTTCCTTGATAGCAGTAGTATTGAAGAAATATAGATATGAACAATATGGATAATTTGAATTTACTCTCTTGCTTGATACTATGAGTTTAATTTGGATAGAGGAAATATTTGCAATATGAGAATCTAAAGTGACCTATAAAATGTTTCTAAATTGGGCAAAGTATTGCTTTTTTGGATACATGTGTAAATTTTGCTAAAATAATATTGTAATTTCTGATTATGGACTCATTTGTAATTCTCTACTATATGCATATTTGAAAATGTTATCATTTATTTAATTCATATATTCTATTCTTTCCTGGATCCGACGAGCCAACCTAAAACATTTTACATTCTTTAACTCTCTTTAGAGAGAGATAGAACGCATGCATGGGTGTGAATTTTTAATCGCATGAATTTAGATTTCTAATCTCTAACTCTCTCTGAGATTTTGTGTTTGTTGATGGGATTTTTCTTTTTATATTGTGTCATTTTCAGGGAAAAGTAAAATATAAGAAAAAGATAGAGAAAAATAAGAGGGAAGAATGGTAAGCGCAAAGGCGAGTTTCAAGATCAGAGTAACTTGTCAAGAATTATGAATGTTTTTGTTAAAAAGGGTTTTAGTCTAATTTATTTAATTTTCTCTATAATTTTTTATTGATTCAGATCAAATAGGCATATTTATTCTAAAACCATTGCAGATAACAGAGGAAATGTGCAATCAATTATGCGAGTTGCTCAAGATATCTGAGGTACTGCCATTTGATCTTTTAGAATATAATGCTATGATCTAATATGATTTCACCTCCATTTTGGGGGAAGATTTTGATGTGAGTACTTAAATTAATTCAGTTAAAATCTTCATATTTGTATCTTTTGATTCAATGTAATTTCGCAAAGTGCAATGAAACATTCAGGCCTTGTTTTATCTTCTACACAAACATACATTAGTGGACGTGTTTTCCCAAAGGTTATAGAATTTCCCCAAAGTTATAGAATTTCAGGTCTGACCTTTCTCAAGAAATGTTTTATATTTGATTGGTAGCATATTGCTTAATTTAAATAAATCATTACATTTCTAATGCTTTCATGTTCTGTAAATTTCCTATCACTTTTTTTGGGTTGAAGTTTCACATGTATTGAAACTTAAAGACATGCACAGTGGTGTTGACTTCATCATTGTCACATTATAGTGAGTTTTAATACAATGTGGCATCAACTTCATCCAATGCCTTGCTGAATAATTTTAAAGGTTACTCTCTGTTTAGTTAGAAAGAGCTTTGAATTGGACGTATTAAAGATCAAACATGCATTTTCCTAATGTCTATGCCATTGCGTTTGTTGCGTGTACTCTATTTCTTTTGTTAATTATTGGTTCCGCTCTGAGTGTTTATTGAAGATATTTATGTCTACTGATAGTATTTGCCTCACTATTGACATCCTACTTGGGTGTCTCATATTGTGGCAGAGTACAGATTAGGTTTATTTTCTGTGACAACCTTGAATATGATGCTCGCCAATTAGGACTTCAGGTAGCTTTTTAGCAAATGTGGAAAGGTTGACATGAGGTGAGTTAAATCCCCATAACTGATACTAGATTGGAGAACTTTTTGTACTTTTAATTGTTGAGCACTTTGTTCTGGCTATATTATTGACCTCTAAGCATTTATAGATATTAGACATGAAGCTTTGAGCGATGGTTTGCGCAAAAAATATGCATCTCTGGAGCATGTATTGAATTTATGGAATATTACGGGCCATCATCTGAAAATACATTTCATAATTTATTCCTCCCTAAATATGAGTATGACCATCTTTGATTCACAAGACTACATGTTTGCCATCTTTGATTCACAAGGCTACATGTTTGATTCCTAAAAATTTTGAGTTGCTTTCTATTTTGATCATTCTTTACTTTTTAACCTTGAAATCGGCGCATAGCTACTATTGCACGCGCAATGTCTATTTATGAAAACTATTAATATTAGTTGGAAAGATATGGATAATATTGTTCTATAATTGACAAAGATTACATAACCTTGAAGAATATGCATATGTAGAAATTCATACAGAAGCATAAATGGAATAAAATCACTCAGATACAAGTAAATATCTTAGAGGTATATTCATTTTGAAATTGAATAAAGAAATCTTAGATAGTGATTGTTAGAAAGTAAACATTGAGATGGATGATATTGAGTTTAATTAATAGGTAGTCATTTAAGTGTTAACTCAATCATTCTTCGTCTAATACTCTCCCTCTTTGGTCGAGATGAAAATTATGTTGAGGTCAGGAGAAATTATCTCCCATGCGTGGGAATTGGCTAATTTTAAGATCGCTTTACGAATCTAACAATAAGATATTAATAATTCTTAATTAAGTATAGAGTCAATAAGATACTAATTTTTTTAATTAAGTCATCTTCCTCTACTCCAAGAAAACCATAAGAATGGCCTTTGTGAACTTCTTAAACACCATGAAGCGCCAACTTCGTAGCGTATTGATGAGTATTGATACTTTCTTATTGCTAAGAAATTAGAGGTAATTTTGAAGGTGATGGCAGTCTTGGTGGCTCCATTTGGAGCTTGACAACAGATATAATTGCACATGACACAACAACACAATGTATGTCTATCATCAGATATAATTACATACTGAATTATTGCTAGAAGAGCATGGATAACGGTCTCGTGTTCACAGTATCATCTTCAAAAGTAGCATAGTCAATCATCAGTAGAAGTACATGGAACTATATTTGGTCACTTAATCACCCATTATAGGTGATATCATCGAGATTTGAATGTTTGGAGAAATATTAATTCTTACATCTTGCAAATAGGTTTTGGTATGAACTTAGTTGCAGTGGTGAATTCTTTTAAAGATTTTTTTATTTTTATTTTTAATTTTTTCCGTATTAATTATCAAGTTAAGAGAATAACATGTAGTTGATTAACTACAATTTGTTGATATGGTCATGTGAGTATAAATTTGTGACATATACAAGTAATTAGGAGAAATTAGCTCTTGTTGATAGATTTTTTCCCTCGCATCAATTTATAATTATAAACTTTTAAATTTGTTTAATTTGTCGATTCATTAACACACCCATATGTTGATTAACATGGTTGTTCTCTCAGAGAAAATCTTTAAAATAATAAGTGAGTACCTACTATTTCACTTTGACATCTCAAAGTTTACCAATTTTTAACTTTGAAACCCCCAAAGTACTTTTTTCAATATTTTGATATCCCACTGTTTTAATCGTATTTTAGTTTCATAACCCCAAAGTATTTTTTAGCACTATGATATCCCAAGGTTTCTATCTCATTTAACTTTGATACCTACATCTAGATCTATTAGATTTTTTTTGTTAATTTTCTACTGCTGTTTTAGCAACTGGGCAAACTGAATCTAAATGTATCAGATGCTAAAGGCACCATACAAATTAAACAAAAGATCTAACACAACTTGGATAGGGTATCAGAGTGAAATATGATTGGAACTTTGGATATTAAAATGTTACATGAATACTTTGGGTATCGAAGTAAAATTGGATTCAAAGTTTGTGGTATCAAAGTGTTAAGAAATCCTTCAGCCTATTGAAGTAGAAAGATATAAACTTTAGGATATCAAAGTGAAAATTATCATTTTCGTTTTAGCTCATCTTCTTATAATATTGCAGTTTAAGGATTATTCCGTATTTAACAAGCAATTTTTCCTCTGTGCAAATGTATCCTCTAGCAATATTGTTTTCAAGGTTGATCTTTGAACTAGCATGTTTTTGTTTTTTCTTTCTTTGTATAGGTTGTGTAGCTTGAATGAGAAGCCCACTCTCATCTTAGGGATGTAATGTTAGTTCATTATGGATGTAGCTAATATTGAATAAATCTAAACCATATTTGTGTGTAGTTGCTTAATTTGTGTGTAGTTGCATAATTGTTTTTTAGGTAAATGTTAGTTCATTGCGAGATTTTTGTTGTTTGATTTGTTTCTCTTTTTTTTGTAGTTGTTGTATTTTTAGTGAATTTGCCCATTTATGTTTGTTTTCTGTGAAGATTGTGGTGAAGGCGATGCTGATAATAGACTCTTGTATAAGCATGATGCTTGTACTATTATTGTAGAGTTAATCTCTACTCTATCTGAAGTATAAGTGCGTGCTTCATAAAAATATTAATATTGATGTATGCAGCATTAGTTGACCTTTAGAGGTTTCCCCCCTTAGAGTTCCTAACATGCATCACGTGCAACGCACGTTTTGCATACAAGTTTAGTTAGATAGGTGTAATTAGACGAGTTCATTTTAAATTATACTAAATGGACGCTAAATAAGCTGTGTTTATTAACCCGTTTGCCCGCCCGCACGTATTCCCAAAACAAAAACCCTAAATCCCGACCCCAATTCCTCTCTGAGCTCTTCTTTTCTCTCGAACCCCGACCCCAAATCCTCCTCCTCCGCCTCAATCCCGACCCCAATTCCTCCTCCCACGCCTCCTCCACCGCCCAATTTCTCTGAGCTTAGGGAGAGTCTCCGCGTGGTCTCTCTCCCTGCTGGGAGATCGTCGACGTCGCCGGACGCGCAGGTTTTGTTTTTTCTGTTTTTTTATTTATGTATTTTCAGTAGCATCATCATTAATTCCACTAGCAGCATCATTGTTTATCCTCAATGCCTCATCATTTTTTATTTATGATATTTTAAAATTACCCTTATCACAATACCTTCAAATATGAAGAATTGGGTGTGCACACAGCCACACAGGAATGCATGGGCATGCACATCGGCTCATTTCTTTTTAAGTTCCTTAAACTTGTTCGTTTTTATCTATTAGACACGTTTTCCTGATATAAACACTATTCTTTGTCAACTTACAAGATTGTTGTCTTGGGGCTTATCACATAATATATGAGGAATTCATTTAAGACTTCGTCACCTGAGACATCATGGGCTCCTTCTAAATGCATATACGATGTGAGGACATCTGCAGGTCAATTAATCGAGCGACTTAGGTTTATTCTAGCAAGGCTATTTCAAATAAGTTATTTTTCTCCATCCTTGCTCGACATTGTTCACTATTTCTTTTCCCAGAGTCGCATCTGTTAGTAAGAGACAAGTTTGTATTGCTTTTTATATTCCATTCTTTTGCATTGACCCATTTAATTCAGAACTTGGAGTTGAAAGTATATAGTTATGTTTTGTCTTAATTCTCAATTGTGTAGTGCATTGTCATAGGATTCTATTTGTGATGGAGAGTTGGCATTAAGTTGGTGAATGTTTTATGAGAATATTATTTAGTTGTTCGATTGGATTAGTGGGTATGATGTTGGAAAGGAATTTACAACGATTAGTTGATGGGACAATCAATAAACCATTCGTTGGTGGAAATTTTTGGGGTGTTAAAAACAATTACATGATAAGCTAATTTTGTGTATTGTAATAAGAGCTTCTAAAATTATCATTAGTTTGTGTATAATTAAGGATTCTTAATTTTCTATCCTAATTTTGCTATTAGTATAAGAACAAAGCACTATCCCTTTGGTGTTTATAAATTTCATGAGTTTATGTTATATGAAAAGTTTAAATCCCTTTGGTGTTTATAAATTTCATGAGTTTATGTTATATGAAAAGTTTAAAAAGAACAAAGCACTGTCCCTTTGGTGTTTATAAATTTTTTCATGAGTTTATGTTATATGAAAAGTTTAAAAAGAACAAAGCACTGTCCCTTTGGTGTTTATAAATTTTCATGAGCTTTTATTTTCTTTTTTTATCATTTGTTATTTGGTAAAATGTTTTAATACCATGCCAAGGTCATTTGTGTAAATTTACATATATTTTCTTTCCTCTCCTTCCCTCCATTAGCACTCCCAAACAAGTTATATTAATTTCACCTTCATTCACCTTACTCAACTCCCAAACAACATATTACGATCCCCTTCCTTTCCTTACCTTCCCTTTCCCTTGTTTATCTTTCCTTCCCTCCCCTCAGTGAACTCCCAAACATAGCATTATCCTCCTCCGTTTTCCCTCTTTCCTCCGTCCTGAGCATCGTTCGAACCGAACATCAATTGAGTTCATTCATCAGTTTAAGAATTTAGTCGTTTTGTGTTTGGTAAGATTTTAATTCCAAGTTCTTTGCAAAATTTTAACTGACTGAATTCAATCAAAGAAATCTCTTGCTAGAGCTTTTAATGTTCCTTAGATTTACTCAAATTTTAATCTTGTTGTTATATAGCATTTGCTGTGTTTGTTATTTTCTCACTTATTTTCACCGTTCTCAATTGCTAATCCCGCATTTTTATTACGTAGATTTTCATTTAGATTTGTACTAAAACTCTGCAGATTTGTGTTACAGTACAGCTGCTCAACTATGGTGGCTCAAGAATCAGAGTAAGCCTTTTACTTGTTCTAATATTTTTATAGAATTTAATCATTTTTTCTGTCTAATTTTTTTTGATCTATAATACTCTGGTTTGTTGGTTGATGTGAAGTCCGGTTGTTGATTACAAAACCCTAACCGTCCCAGTGAAATCTGCTGTCGATAAGTTCGATCTCCTCCCTGCCTTTCTCAAGGCAAGCCTGTCCTCTTACTTTAATAATTGAGTTAACTGAGTTATTTTTGGTTAATTTGTTGGTCTGTGTTCATTTGAAATTGGCAGGTGAGGGGATTAGTGAAGGAGCACATTGATTCCTTTAACTATTTCATCGACCATGGCATCCACAAGATCGTGGAGGCTAACAAGCGGCTAGTCTGTGTTCATGACCCAACCCTTTTCCTTGAGTAAATTAATTTGTCTTACCATATTTTTGAGCATATGTATTTGTTGATATTTTTTGAATTATTTTATTGAGTTTCTCGGTTTTCAGGTATAAAAGGATCTATGTGGGCAATCCTACTGTCCACGTAGATCTTGTTGAGCAGAAGATCACACCTCAGATGTGTCGCCTTTCTGATCGAACGTACGCATTCTCTTAGTTCTCATATCTTCCAATTCATTCCATGAGTATTCATACTCATAGTTACGCTAGGTCTCATGTTTTCTATTGTTCACATGCCCTCTAATGCAGTTATGCAGCTCCAATTTTCGTTGATGTTGAGTTTACCAAAGGGAATCAACCAAACAAGCAAATTGAACAAAGGGTACTCATGAACCTAATTGTCCATTAAGCTGATTGTTTTTAACACTTGAATTAACTTTTTCTCTTATTATCATTGTCTTAGCAACGTATGCAAATAGGGCAAATGCCAATCATGCTCCGAAGTTCCCACTGTGTATTAAGAGGAAAGGATGAAGCTGAGCTTGCAAAGCTAGGTACTTCTAAATCTCTGTTATTGTTCATGCTTTTGATTCTTACCTTTTGTGAGCGCCTCTTCCTTACAATTGACTCACTATGAACCTGATTTTTCAGGTGAATGTCCTCTTGATCCTGGTGGGTACTTTATTGCTAAAGGGAATGAAAAGGTATGCTGTTTTCATTTGGAATTTTTATGTATCCATATCTTATCATGCTTCAGTGTTGCCTTACTATAAATATCAATCTTATATTGATGGTTCTAATATGTTCCCTTTCTACATGATATTATGTCATGCTCTCATTTAGCCATCATGCAAAGTAGATTTGGGTAGGCTTATCAGATTTTGATATGCCCTTTCCGTGTAATTATGCAGGGAAATGGTATATATTTCTTGATTTGGATCCTGTATTCAGTGTTTTCTTAATTTCTTTGCATTTCTCATATCATATGCGTAAGAGGAATCTTGTGTTGTATGATTAAATTCATTTGCATTTTAATTGGTGTAACTAAACAAAGTTGGGTTGGTGATTTATCGTTAGTCATCTATTTTTATGAAGTCTGTTTGCATAGAATAATAATAATCATGCACACACACACACACGAGTTGGACTGCTATGCTCTTAGGTTTGGAGGAGAAGGAATCTCCTCTTACATTTCTAACTGTGGGATTTATATCTCAATGGTCGTAACTTGAGGATGTATTTTAGGGATAAGATATGACAATAAACTCGTGGAGGGGAAAATTAGATATTTAAAGAAAAACTATAAATGTATTAGAATTTAATCATGAGATTGAAATCGCATCTTCTTTCTTCTGCTTTTTTTTTTCTTTTTTCTCTGGCTCATGTACATGAAGCAGCTGAACCAATGTCACCTTAACTCATGGAACCTTGTTTTTTTGAACAATGAAGCCAAATAACATGGAAGTATTTTCTGAATATATGTTGGCTTTCATAGAGTTTGTGTAATGCTTCAGAGATTACTTCTCCTAATCATCACCTTCTCTCCAAAAGCAAGGAAGATGAATTTTAAGCAGATAAACATTCTGTTTCTGTGAAAATACAAGTAGACACATGTGCAAGGTAGGTTTCAAAGGGGTCATCGTTCGTCCTAATACTCAGGCTGTAGCCATTCCGAAAAGAAAACTTCCTAAAACAAATCACCTAGCTACTGTCATATTTTCAACATTATTAACGCAATATCTTCAACATTTGTTATGATTGTTGCTGGAATTAATTGAAACGCTTGATGGGTTTGTTTGTGATGTTGTATGGAGAAAGCTGAAGATATAATGAAAGAATTTCAAACATAAACAATTATATGTAATTTTCTATATCAGTAATATTTAGAATCTCTTGTTTTCCCTCTAAAATTTAACTGCCCTTCCTTTTTCCATAAGCTGCCTTCTTAAATCATGACCATTAAAATTCTAATTGGACGGTATAAATGTGGGAGGACTAGATTCCCTCTCCTTTTAGGAGGAAAATAGTTCAACTATATATATTCGAGTTCATGTTGAGACTGTTCTGTTTCTTTGTCATAAACAATTTGATCAATTAAAGAGTTAGGTTTGGTTCGAGCATTCTCACCTCCATTGAATGACATTTTCTCAAGATATTAAGGAAACTGATTTGAGCATTCTCACCTCCATTGAATATTTTGACATTTTCTCTAGATATTAAGAGTTTCCTTATTGTTCAAGGGATTCTGTAAGTTTGGGGCAAAGTCCATAAGTTTTGCTAGAATCAAATGATCAAATTGAAGATCATGCCTTCTACACACAAGAAGAGCCACTGTTCTTTTTGGGCATTTCTTCAATTAGGATTTGCACAAAATTTTGGCTACTCAGAAGAAAAATATTTTGTGAGGGTGATTGCACTTAATCTATTAGATAATCTTCTGTCATCGTGTTCTTCTTAGGCATTATTCTTATTTTCAATTTTTATGAGCTAGAGTTCACGAGCAAAGGAACAATTACTATTTTTTTTTGCTAAATTCACCATGGTCCATGGAACATCCAAGCTCATTACTTAGGGTATGTTTAAATACTATGGTGATTTTTGTGTTGTGTTTTCTAGAAAAACACTATCTACGGTGTTTTTCTTCCAAAGTATTTTCAAAACGCCATTGTGAGTTTTTTGGTCAATGCTAGTTTGACCATTCCCATACACATTAAATTATAGCATATTATATATTTTATAAAATAATATAATATATAAGACGTAACATATTATATTATAATATGTTTATATTAGTTAATACACTATATTATATTAATTTTTATTTTATTATTTTAATAATACAATATATATTACTTAATATATGATATTTATGATATATTGTTTTTATATATTATATTTATTGACTATATAACATTATACTAATTTTCTTATATTATGACATTTATATTATTTTAATAAAATATTTCATAATATAATGTATATCATATTAAATAATATATTTTATTAATTATATCATATTAGATTATATATTATAAAATGATATTATATTATGTTATATTATACTATCCAATATATATTTTGTAATATATTATATTTTTAATATTTCTTTTATAATATATTTATCGATTATATAATGTAATGCTAGATATGGTATATTATATTATATTATTTTAATATAATATTTAATAATAAATGTATTATATCAAATGATATACTTTTATTATATTAATATTTACTATATGTTAGTAATTTAGTTATATTTAATATAAGTTATTTACTTATTATACTATATTAATTTTATATATTATAATATTTATATTATTTTAATAAAATATTTCATAATATAATATATATTGGAGAAACTATTCATTTGTATTCTTTGCGGATACAAAGACAACTAATAAATAAATTTTCAAGGTGAAATTGCTTCCGCCCCTAGCTATTTGAACCATGTGGCACGCTCTCCTTTGACTGACAAGCAAATGTTTGATGTGATGGGGATTATGGAGCGCACAACCAACTACACACATAAGGAGCGTAGGCACCGAGACAACACCAAGGATTTTACATGGTTCGGCCAAACATGCCCATATCCATGGTTCTTCAAATCCAGTACAAGCGATACAACTGATGAAAGTTTTGCACAGACAAACTTGAAAACCGTTGCATATCTTACATCTCTCAAGAAAGCCGAGAACACCGATTATTTAAGAGCTCCAGGAGGTCATCATCACATCGTATCACTCATAGAACTTGAGAACACCGATCATTCAGGAGTTCTAAGAGGATCCTTCCTCGCCCCTAGAGAATGACCTTCTCTTAACACATCCACATCCTTTTATAGCCTCCAATTAGAAGTTCAAGGAGCTAACCATTAATGCATCATTTCGTCTTCGTGTGCATTACTGCCTTTCAAAGTTCCATTCTTTTCATTCTCCAATTTTGACTAGTCTTCCAATCTTCCTAGTCAACACAATGGATTCCTTTCGCATTTATGAGACTTGGGGAGAATCCTAACATGATGATTGCAACCTTATGACCATACTCTTGGCGAATCAATTAAATATTTGAAAAATATGTCAAATATTTCAATATAACACAAACTCATGGTGGATCAAGTAAACTACCATAGATTAAATTTAGGGACATCCAAAGCAACCGAACTCCATCTGATCCCAAGAGCTCGCTTGCTAGCTCCATACCATCTTGGTCTAAATGAACATGTATTATCATTTGAACTTTAGTTTTGTTAGAATCATTGGAAAGTAATCAGAATTGGAGTTGAAATATTAGAATTAATTGTGATATTTTGATAAAGAGCTAAGCTTTAGAGTAATCCATAGAAAAGAATATATTTTCATGAATGGTGTTGCGAACTTCTAGGTATAGGGAAGGAAACGGGCAACATCGAGCGGCGAACTTGGAATGACTGGGGGTTGACTAGGCTGTCAATTAAGGAGGGTTCTACTGTTTTGGAGGAGAATAGAAAAAGAGGCAGAAAAGAAGAAAGTGGTAGATTTGGAATTAATAAAGGGTGAGGAGTAGATTTAATTTAACATGTTTAAAAGTATAGAGTTGTTTGACTAGTCAAACTGAGTTCCGATACAGATCAAAATTGCACGGAGCAGAAGCATCTTTTCACATTTGTAATTATATAAAACAATACTTTTTTTTTCATTATTTAGTCATATTACTAAAGCAAAATGATAAAATTAAACGAAAACCAAAAGATTGAAAAGATTAAAGCAAATCCAATAGATTCGTCTGCATGGCATCAAATTTTCAGGCGTAGTTAATGTGTGCTTTGTTTCTTCTTCTTTCTCCTCATTCATTTGGCAATCTTCAATTTGATGTTTTATCTTCCACTTGGTTAGTTCTCAACTCTGTTGCCACACAATTTTTATCGATCAGTAAACATCTAAATCTCTCTCTCTCTCTCTCTCTCTCTCTCTCTCCCCTCCTCTCTTTTGTGTCTGTATTTAAAATGTTAATTTACTTTCTAGTTTTATTTTCTCTCTCTCTCTCTCTCTGTGTGTGTGTTTAAAATCCCAAGGTTTTGTTTAGCAAAATGACTATACAAACATAAAAATTCCTATGAATTTCCTTAGAATGTATGTTAATTCCTTTCATATGGAAACATTCCTTCCACAATCCTTTCCTAATTATGCTTGTCATTGAAGGTTTATTTTTTCAAAATTTATTTAAGAAAGTTGATGCACTATTTTCATCTTTTTCTGTTCTTATTGGAAGTAAATATGTATTCCTATGGGTAATAGTTAGTTTTGGAGTCCTATTCAGTTATGTCGTTTCAAAGAGAGCGTATTTATGATATTCCGAGATGAATACATAATGACTTATGTATTCATCTTGTCTTATATGTTAATTTCTTTTATGTTACGTGATTCACTTGTTTTGTGTATTTATATAGTATGGGACTTGATGCATCATGTATTCACATATGCCTTGATGTACTCCTACTCCATGGTCTTGACATGTTTTTCATTTTCTTTGTTTTTGTTGACTATATGTTCAATTGCTAATGACATCATTTATCTTTTAGGTTATTCTGATACAAGAACAACTTTCAAAGAATCGGATTATTATTGATAGAGATAGTAAGGGACGGTATGATGTACTCAGTGACCCTTGTTGTGCTACTTTATATTTCATAATTTCTTATTACCTTATTTGTGATAATCAAGTGAAGCTAAAGTTTGTTGCATGGATTTGAATCTAATATTTAAGTTTATAACATAAATCACAAGGGACACATTCAACAGGTATAACAAAATGCTTAAGTAAAGTATCTAAAGGAATATCAATATAAGAATGCATGAATGAACACGATTTAAAGAATTAAAAAATTTACAAAAAGAAAGAAAGAGTTTCACACCAAAACTATTAAAAAAAAGGAATAAGCTTTGAAAGATTGTTAAAGGGTTGCTGTTGCAAAGCACTTATAAATTTAGCTGGATGCCCTATTCATAGTGGTGGTAGGGAGGTGGGGGATGCCTATCTGATTGAAACCAAAATTGTATTTAGTCAAGTTGTTTTGATCATAATAATGTCCAATTAAGGTTTAACTTAGGGCTTTTCTATGCTAGATTTATATTTACACTAAAGCTATTGGGTTGCCACCGTAGAATGTCTTTTCCAAGCCAAAGTAAATTATATTATTAGTAAAGGTTTTTGTCAAAGAATACTAAAAGCTACCTAGCTCAGTTGGTTATAGTCTTCACATTTATATCATAGGTTTCATGTTCGAATCTTGTCAGAGTCAATTTTACATAGCAAAATACCTATGACCTGTGTACCATACCTTTTTGGACAATTAAATAAAGGTTGTTGTTTTTCATATAAATCCAATTTATAAAATAATTTATTTTTAAGCTCACAAACCTCAAAAATGACATTTTAAGATCAAAATACATACTTCATGAGTTTTAGTAAAATGATATAATAAAAAATTGATGTACAATAGAATGCTTTTTGCCTATAAACCAAAAGTTTTACCTCCATTTATTCTTAAATTCACCCTTTTTTATATAAGCCAAAATCTCATCCCCATTTATTTTTAAATCCGCCCACTTTCAAAGTCACTTTTAGATCCAAAATACTTCACCTCACACTTTACTCCATTCTTTTCAGCCTACCAAGTACCAACTTTCGAAAGGTTTTTCCCTGTAAACCCAAAGTTTTAACCCCCCATTTATTCCTGTACCTACTCACTTCCAAAGTCAAGCCTATGCCAAAATAATTACTAATTTTTTTAAAGTTTGTATTCTACCAGTTTATTCTATTGTATGTTGCAGATTTTATTACAATTTGCTAACTAAGTGCTTATGTATGCAATGCATTTTTTAAACAAAATATTTAAAGATTTTGTATCCTATTTTTTTACACTAAGCTCATGAACATCAGGAATTGTAAATGAGCTTTTGCTTATAAATCTGAAAATTTACCCCCATTTATTTTTAAACTCACGCTTCTGAAAGGATTTTCTGTCGTATAAATCCAAAGTTTTACCTCCACTTAATTTTTCAAAACTTACTCTCTTCCAAAATTCAATTAATATATTTTTTTGTTAAAAATTCTGAAAGAAAATTAGCTTAGCTGGTTAAAGTCTACATATTTGGCTCACAGGTTCCAAGTTTGAATCTCAGATGGGCCATCGTTTTACATTGGGTTTTATTTAGTATTAAAACATCTAATCTTCAATAATTTAGTATTAAAACATCTAATCTCAATAATTACTCATTAGTCCCTCAAATCCTAAGGTTATTGCCATTTGGTCCCTCAATGATGATACTACCCTCATCTAATGTTTTTTTAAAGGGTTATTTGCAATTTGGCATTTTTAGAGGGTATTTTTTACATAGGGTTATTTAGATATTGGTTCCTCAAATCTTCAATAATTCCATATTAGTCCCTCAAATCTAAATGCGTTCATCTAATGTTTTTAAAGGGTTGTTTGCGATTTGGCATACTAAAATTTATAGTTTTTTTTTTAAACTTTGATATGCACAAGTTTTTGACACTTTGATTCATAGTCGCATGGAACCTGGTTCGTTTCGGTTTAAGGGATGGGTACGGGAACACGGTGCGCCACTAAGTATTGAGTACGAGGGTTTAGGCTTATACGATACGTTAGAGAACGTGATTACACTTTGATTCATAGTCGCATGGAACCTGGTTCGTTTCGGTTTGAGGGACGGGTACGGGAACACGGTGCGCCACTGACTAAGTATTGAGTACGAGGGTTTAGGCTTATACGATACGTTAGAGAACGTGATACGCTTTATGTTCGATTCTGAAATGCTAGTTGATATTAGTAGTGGTAAAAGAATCTTAAGAATCATGTTGCAATTAAGATATGCATACTTTATTTGCTTAATTTCTTACAGTTTCCGTTGTTAATTCTCTTAAAAAGAGTTATTTTTACTTCAAAATTTAATTGGTTTGAATTCTAAATTGGGTTGCTTGGGTTCGTGAAACGGGTCGTGTTCTGCACGAATTTGGGAAGATTGAACCCCGGTCGCTGTTCGCTATAGCATACATCGTTCCCACCTTCTATGCTTTGATTCCCCAAAATTTACACCTCTGTAAACTTTGATCCCCAAACCTTTTCTTGAAATTTTGACACCCCAAAGTTTATACATTTTTTAACTTTCATACCTCAAAGATTCTTTTTTATAACTTTGATACCTCAAAGTTTGTACATTTTTTAATTTTAATACCCTAGAATTTAAGATAAAGTTTTAAGGTATCAAAGTGTCTAAAACAGAACTTTGAGGTATCTAGGTTAAAAATATAAACTTTGTCCTAAGAAAAGTGTCAAGAAAAAACTTTGAGGTATCAGAGTTAAAAAGGTGTAAACTTTAGGGTATCAAAAGTGTCAAAAAGCTTGGATATTAAAGTTAAAAGGTGTAAACTTTAGTTTATCAAAGTGTATATAATCCTTTTGTGAGCAAGGTGAGTTTTTTAAGAGAGAAATCATAACTAAGAGTTATTTTTGTTATTGAGGGACAAAATTGTTAGACACCTTAGGATTTGAGGGACTTACGAGCAATTATTGAAATTTGAGGGGCTCATATGGAACTGTTGAATATTTGAGGGGCTAATTTTCTCGAAAACATTTCTTTTTAAATTAAATGAGCCTTTTTTTTGGCATTTCTCCATACTAATTATGAACATAACACTACCAAGGCATTACCAAGGCATTAATATTGTGCAAATGCTTTAACTAATATGTTTTCTAAATCAAAATGAGCCATTTTTGTTGGCTTTCTCCATGCAAATTTGTCCACAATATAACTACCAAAGGCATTAGTATTGTCCGTATGCTGAAACCATTCTTTTTTGACTTTTCCCACACTAATTTATCTATAATACAAAACTGAAAAATATTTTTGTTCACAAGCTAAAAAAGAAAATTTTGAACCGAATGCTTAAACCATTTTTTCCCTTCATTCACACTAATTTATCTATATTATAACTCCCAAAAATATTTTTATCTACAAATTAAAAAAGAGTTTTCTAAGCAAAATGCTTATCCATTATTTTTTGGCAACACGCCAGTCAATTTTGGTCGTTCTCTGCTTGATCAATGGGCTGGCTGAATGGGTAGAAGTAAATCCGCAAGTCCATAGAGCTCGGTTTTGTAATGCAATTTAACTGAAAGAGGCTTCATCAGACCTTTTAATATGCTTGTGAGTGCAAATAAATGTAACATGCTGAACTAATATACAAAAAAAAAAGGTATGGAGTAGAAGACATCACATCGTGAAGGGTCTAATGATCTAACTTCATAAAATCATTCAAAACAGTCAAACTCCTAAGTTAAGCAATATAAGCATGAAGGAAATATTGATTCATAAGCCGGGAGTACTAATAGAGTAATAGTATATTAACATGTATAATATAATGTCACTTTATCGTCAAATAGGATACCATGAGTCCAACTTGACCGAGTGCATCATCTAAAAGGCAATCAACCATCTACTTAAATCTGTATAAACAAAGGTCATTTGATAAGGGTAAGAAAAGAAGATAACAAAACCGACATCAGGTACATAAAAGAAAAAAAATGATGTTGCTACTGTTTGCTTGTGGACTTGAGATGGAAGAGTGGCTGAGAAGTTTAAGCAAAATAGAGCAAACAATGCAAAAAGTCACATCTTTCACTACAAGGGAATTCGTCTTTATTTGTATTTACATAGTAGTAGGTTAATTACTTCTGCAAATTTCTTTTTATCATGTTCTCATAGTTATTTATCATTCTTCTGAAATTGTTTGGTATGTCATGACTCATGTTTCCATTTTTGTTGTCATAAGGTATTTGAAAGCAAGCTTATCCATAGCTATGTGTTGTTGTTGTCAGGGTATCAGCATCAGTTACAAGCAGCACGCATGAGACAAAAAGCAAAACTGTCTTCTTCATGGAGAAAGATAAAATATATCTACAACTTAATCAGTTTTCTAAGCCAGTACTGACGCTGCACTGATCTCTTTTCCTAAGAATTTCCATGAACTGCCTGCTTTACTTGTGCTTGGATTTTCTCCAGGTTCCAATTATGATAATCTTGAAAGCTATGGGTATTGAGAGTGATCAGGAGATTGTCCAAATGCTCGGAAGAGATCCACGATATGGCAGTCTCCTTCTTCCATCCATTCAGGTTGCCTATTTCATTTGAGTAACTAGTACATATCAACATCGTAAAGCTTTCTATCTGGTAACTTATAACATAAGTTGACCTTCACTTTTATTATTATTATTGGTAATTGTTATGTCAATTAAACAAAGTTGAATATTTATATGCTGTTTTAATGGCTTCTTTTGCTAAGATATTTATGTCATTGCCTGCATGTTTCTCTTCAATATCTATAGTAAATACATCAATGGTATCACGATGATCATTATGCTTCTTTTAAATGGACTTCATTATATTATTCTAGTCTTCATTATATTATTCTGCTCTTTCTATAATGTGAATGAATTCTATATTCATACTTTATTAATAACTTACGAGTTAATCAGTCATCATTGTTAACACCGTCGCCATCTGTGCATATTCTGGCAAAATGGTGTTGTTTGTTTGGGACATGATCTGTTTAGTAGGATTTGATGGTGAGGTTTACCTTGCAAGTAACTAGGGCCTCATCTGCAATACAAAAAGCCTGTCGGGACTATAGAGGCTTATGTTTAAACTAAAAACCTCCTAAACATTAATTAATCTAGATTTATCTTCAATATATAAAAGATTGACAACCTATTGAAACTACACTGAGTTCCATGTATCATCAAGCTTTATACCATAATTTCCTTTTCCATAGCTTTCTTCCTACATGGATGTGATATGGTTTTTGATACACCTACACATCAAGGAATTTGATGAAAATAAATAGCTGAACCAAAAAAAAAAAAAAAAAAAAAAAAAGAAAAAATAGAGAGGTGACTTTTAATTGGGGCTCCAGTAGAGATTACTATTGTTGTGTATTTTTCTGAGAGACTCGCTCACTTATACATAGGTCATTCTCATTCCCTCCCACTCATAAGGAACTGGCTCCCAAAATTTTCTCAAACCAACCAAACAACCCCATTTCCCCTCAACAGATTGATCTTTTGAGATGTATGTTACCATTTTAATGATTACACCTTTGTGATTCTTTTGTTGATTTGGTCGAAGTGACCAACATCTCCCACTTGGCCAAATTAACCAAAGGGTGTGCCTCCCACTATAATATATCAAATATAGTGACACTGAATTTCAAAATGCCTTCCTTTTCTTTCTTTTGTCTACATTATATTGAACATAGAGATTACAGGAATGAATGGAAGTGTAAAGCTTAAAGCCTGGCCATCAAGATTTAAGCTCTCTTCAAATTCTATATGTAAGAGGTTGTCAATAATGTTCTGGTTTTGTTTACATGTGTTTGATTGCTCTTTTCGTAAGTGTGAGTCCTTGCAAGAGATTGAACAAATCCATCATCTTATTCATTTCTGTCCCTAACATGTGTATCCAGTCCGGTGTTAAACTAAATAAAGAAGCAATTGGAAACTGGTGATGTTGGCATATTGGGAGAGAGTGTCCTTATCTGGGCCAGAGTTTTTTGGGTGTAACACAGAAAAGAGAAAAAAACTTCGTACCTTTTTATATGCCCTATTTCTTTTTATTCCATAAGATGCTTATTTTGCCCGAAGTGTCTAGTTTCACATCTTGGATTATTAGGAATCTCTTTCTATAGTTATGCACTTATGCTCATGGCTTCACATACTTAAACTCCACGCTAGTTTGTAGCTTTTAATGATGTAAAGCTTGTGTCCTGCTGACTACATGAAATGGTACATAATATGTTTGTTCCTTAACTATTTAAGATAGCTTCAATGCTTTGTCAATATTCTTCGCCAAATTTACTTATTCAGCCTTAAACTTTATAATATATGTTAGTGTTAAGATTGCACTTGTAATCTTACGCCGGTTCATGTCTTTAGCTTTACAATCTTGTTGCTATGTTTTTTGTATTATATTTCTTTCTTTCACAGTTGCAATGTTTGGCATTGGTAGTGTTTGATTCAAATGATGATAGTACATTCATAGCTTCATCATGTTAGAAGCTAGATTATTCCAATACCATGTGAAGACCTTTTTTTTTTTTTCATTTTGGTTCTTATGTCAGGAATGTTACTCTGAGAAAATATACACACAAAAGCAAGCATTGGATTACCTTGATGAGAAGGTTAGTAGTTCTAAAGCTTTGTACTAATTTTAAATAGAGGTTTAATTTTCTTGTGTTAATTTGACAACTTGTTATGCACAATTGTTATATTAGTTTTGTTATCATGTTAATATAATGGGGGTGTATCTGCATAAATCATGCACTGTTTTTTTGCGTATTTTTTCAGGTGTCTTTAATTTCCTTATTCGACGTGGTATAACTTTTTGATTTAATTATATTATATGCTATCTCAGATGATTTTGAAAAGATTGCAATTGCTGTAATTTTTTGTTGTGCAAAGTGTTTCTTGGTTAGCGTATGACAGTTATGAACTATGTTCTGTTCCCACACATGGATCTTTTACCCTTTGAAGCTTTATGTATGTGAAAATGCTTGGGGTTCCCACGAAACCCCTTTGAACTCTGGTGTTTCTCAGAAAACCCCTGCACTTCG